GTCTTCCAAGACTACCCACCTCAGCAAAGCTGTTTTTCTTTTTATTCAATGCATTAGAAAACCAGGAAAATAAGTAGACATAAGAATGCATTTGGATTCCAGTGAACCTGCCTGGTACATTACTCTAGAAGCAAAATTCCCATTTATACATAGAATTTACAGGAAAGAAATTTGCTAAAACTGATCTAAAGCTGACATGATGAAATCCAAAAGGAAAAGGCTTTTACTGTGATTGTCAGAAATTCACGTTTCCCATTTTTCACTATGGAACATAGGAAATGAGTTGAACATGCTTTATATTTCCCACAACTAGCAATTTTCTGTCTTTGGAAAGTTTTAGAGGGAGGAGCTCAGAGGTGCTGTGGGAGGGACTAAAATTCATATTAAAGTTTTGGCATGAGAGGCAGAATTGTCAGAGTAGAAGGTTTCTTCTGAGGTTTTGCTTTTTTTTTTTCAATTTAGGATGATAAGTATTCATGTTCAAATTCTTCTAATAATTCTTTTTTGGAATTCTGATTGTCAGATTATTCCCAGGATTGAAGAATGTGGACTTTCATGTTCTCAGGTAATCTCTTACTTGTTCCTATTTGCTGTTTATTAATATAGTAGTTGTATGCTGCCAAAATAATTGTAAGAAAAGAAAGAAAGCAAAAATGGAAAGATATTTCAGCTGTCCTGAACATTCACTTTATATTTCTGTCATTCTGAATTAAGTATCCAAAGTGGCAAAGATGACTGTTAGGAAGGGAGTAAGAAAATGCATCTTACACTATTTCCAACTGCTGTTGTTAGTACCTTTTTTAATCTGTCTTTTGTATCTGAAAAAAATGATTTCGTTCATATTCATTACTTTGGAGAGTCAGTTTTTACAACAGCAGTGGTGCCAAAGAGATGAGGGAGGGAGGAACGGGAGGTTTCAGAAATTGCTAATTATGTTAGGAATATATGAAACACTGACTTTCCTGTGAATAAATGAATTAAGTTTGAGAAAGAGTAAAACCTGTTTTTCATTCTGTGGGATGAATGTAACTGCAGTATTAAATTTAATGACTTGTGTATGTGCATAAAAGTGGAGTGTGAACCATACCATCTCTTTAATAGCTTTGAATTTTTTATATTTCCAAATATCCCCACAAAGGGGCGGTATGGAGATATTCTGCTTCTGTTGGCATTTTGAAACTGTAAGAATAGAGTAATTTGAAAGATAAATAAAAAAAGGATAAAATAATAGGGAATCTGACTTTCAGTCGTGAGAGAGGATGATAACTATGTACTTGCTACAGAGAAGTGGAATTGATGGCATGAAAGAATTTGGCTGGTGGTACAGACTTCTGCTTGAAGATGTCAGTGTTTAGGACAGGCAATGAGACATACTAATGATTGTCTAAATACGGTGGTACTATCCAGATATTAAGTTAGTACATGTTACAGCAATTTATTCTATATTTTATATGTGTATCCTAGAAAATATCAGGACTAAAGATGCTTACAAAGTACTAGATTGAGGGGAACCCCCCCTCTATATTTAAAGTTGTTATATTCCCGCATTCAAATTCTGTAGTCTCTATCCACTTAGATAATGTTTTTAGAATAATAAAATATAGTAATAAGAGATTAATCTCTAGATGTACCTGAGCACTTTTCAAGAATTTTTATGTATTTATGTTTATGAATGCAAACACACATGTATTTTAAATAATTTATGCTCCTTGGTCTGCTGCAACGAGAGTTTAAAATAGAAATTATTTACTGTTCTAATTTATCCCTCCAAAGACTGTATGACTATCAGACTCAACATGTAAAAAACAATAGCAACCTTTTTCGGTGGGATTCAGTCTAGGGGATAGGATTTACCTCTGGGGACCTTAAAGGGCATTTTTCTCTGTCATATCTTAGGTATGTTAAGAAGACTGATTCACTAGATGCCTAAGATATAGACACAACCCTGAGGCTTGGTAGACTGGATCCCTTTCTTTGCCACTGTCATGGTTTAACCCCAGCCAGCAACTAAGCACCACACAGCTGCTTGCTCACTAGCCCCCGGTGGGACGGGGGAGAGAATCAGAAGAGTAAAAGTGGGAAAACTCGTGGGTTGAGATAAAGACAGTTTAATAGGTAAAGCAAAAACCGCCACACAAGCAAAGCAAAACAAGGAATTCATTCACTCCTTCCCATGGGCAGGCAGGTGTTCAGCCATCTCCAGGAAAGCAGGGCTCCATCACGGGTAACGGTTACTTGGGAAGACAAACGCCATCACTCCGAATATCCCCCCCTTCCTTCTTCTTCCCCCAGCTTTATATGCTGAGCATGATGTCACATGGTGTGGAATATCCCTTTGGTCATTTGGGGTCAGCTGTCCCAGCTGTGTCCCCTCCCAGCTTCTTGTGCATCCCCAGCCTACTTGCTGGTGGGGTGGTGTGAGAAGCAGAAAAGGCCTTGACTGTGTGTAAGCACTGCTCAGCAGTAACTAAAACATCTTTCTATTATCAACCCTGTTTTCAGCACAAATCCAAAACATAGCCCCATACTAGCTACTATGAAGAAAATTAACTCTGTCCCAGCCAAAACCAGCACAGCCTTCAAGAGTTTGTCTTACAGCTTTTCCAATACTGAAGGTTGGATAACTGAGAAAGGTGTATTTTTTTTAATTTACAGGGGAAATATATTGTTTCCAGTATAGTGGACTCAATCAATCATTTGTGATGTTAAAGATAGGACTCAGTTTGTGTTCTCTATATAATGTTTCTGCTAGTTGTATTCACTAGAATCTTGAATGCATTAATGATTTTTTAAGACAAAAATGTTTTCTCACTGGGAACAATCATGATCTCAACAGGACAAATTACTGCCAGCGTAGCATTTTCAATCTAGTGCAAAGCATTTTAGCTACATGAACTTTAGACTCTCATGACTAGCTTGTTAGAGAAAACTCCTTCCTCCTTTCCCTTTGGAAGTAACTTCAATT